CACAGGAAATGAAAGTGGAATGGGGATGGGGATGGGGATGGGGATGGGGATCTGGATGAGGATGAGGATGGGGTTGCAGATGAGGATGAGAAGATGGAGCTCCCCGAATGAGACATTGGCGCAATAATCATAAAAAGTCAGTGCGAGGCGACACAATAAACTGCCGCAGGCAGAGCGATGATTATGGCACTCTCTGGGCTGCGGGGGGTTAAGGGTGGTGCAGGGGGGCTTACGGGGGGTTAAGGGGGCTGCCCCCTCCCCTCCACAAACCCCTTTTACATCCCCCGCAAACTGGCGAAGGCGAGTGGCGTTGGCATCCAAAAGCAACGGAAGCGGATGCAGAACGGAAGTGGCAGTGGAAGTGGGCCAATGGGAGGGAAGGTAGATGGGTAAGGGGGCGTGGCAGGGGGAGGGGGAAAGACTCCAAAATAAAGGGTGAAGATGGAGCGTTGTCAACTACCTTTGGCGCATTTGTCAGCTTTCCCCCGAAAACAACTTGAATGCCACTTGAATTGCAGTAGTGAGTCTTGAATTTAAGCATGAATTAACATAAAGTCGCTTCAGAAACAGGAACTCTGGGAATCTCAACTGAAGATCCGGAATGCCACAAAGTTCATTAGTTCCACTAATGGGTGGGTATTCAACCCCCTTTTGGAGTTCGTGGAATCTCAACTCCACATCAGAGGACTCCAGATTTTAATTGCTTTAAGATTATAAAAGAGTTTTAGGTAGAAAAGGTGACACAAACAATTTTTTCTATCTTTTATAGTTTTAGTAACGTTCTGTTCTGTTTTTAAAATATATGGGTTTCTTTTAAATCCAATAAGCGTTTTTTTAGCTCTCAGCCCAAATCATTTGGTTTAGGAGCTGTCTGAAGATTTGCTTTATGGTCATCATATTTGATTGTGGTACCAGCAGAAGGGTTCCATTAAATATAGTGTTCATGTCAACCTGGTCAACTACTTTTTGTACCATTATAGTTACAATTATTATAGTTACAACTGTGATATTGTACAAACTCTAACAATGGACATTGGTTTCAACTGTTTAATCTTTTTGCAAAGTTTATAATTTAAGACACCCAGTAGCACAATTTGAAGTTGTTTCTCGTTTAAAGCTCACTTAATGATTTTACGGGTTCGCCCCAGCTTTTGGCGGTAATGTATTCGCGTAAAGTTGCTTAGCACTTGCATCGCCAACCAACTAATCCAAATCCCGGCAAGAAAGGAGTGGCTATCCCAGGGGAAAGTGGCTGAGAGGGAAAGTGCTGAAGGGACGGCATGAGAAATCGCCAATCTGTCCCCCAGTGGCGATAAGTATTTGCAGAGCGCTGCTCAAATATTTCTGCAGGAAGGTTCGCAGCTTCCTTCGGAGGTTCAGAGGAGCAGAGGAGCAGCTTCCTTCAGAGGAGCAAAGGAGCAGCTTGCTTCAGAGGATCCTGGCATTGGATGCATTCCCCCACGAGTGGCCAATTGAGATGAGCGCAATAAATAAGCCAGTTTGTGCGTTCGTTCGTTCGTGCCACTCCATTTCATTCCATTCCGACTTCCGGCCACTTTATTGTAAATATATCTCTATGAAATATGCCGCAGGATGGGGCATCATCACCAGTATCTGGACGAGGATGAGGATGAGGGTGGGGATTGGGATGAGGATAAAGGACAGCGGGCGGAAGGAGCCGTCAACACCTTGTCCTTCACTGCAGTTCGTCTGTTTCCCTTTCCTTTTTTCTTTCTCTCTCGTTCTGTCTGTCTGTTTTTCTGTCTGTGCATCTGAATGTGTGTGTGTGTGTGTGTGTGTTTGTATCTGTGGATTGCTGTCCTTCGGCACAAATTTCATTCCAACTTTGTCTCCTCTCCGACGGCAAACACATAAATTTTGATGAAGCTCTTTCAAAAACAGTTTATAGTTCCTTCTTCCCGCGACTTCGTCTTGCTTTCCATCTTTCTGTCTGAATGTCTGTCTGAATGTCTGAATGTCTGACCACTTGACACTTGTTTTGGCAATGGGCAGTGAAAAGTTTCCGCTTTTTTCTTGGCCCAGACTTTAGCCTCAATTTGCAAGTTCAACTTGGTTAAATAGTTGCCGTTGCCGCTTACGTTTAGGTTTACGATTTCGTTTTCGGGTGGTCGTGCATTAAAGTCGGATCCCCGCATTCAATTCGCTGCAAATCCTCCGCATATGTAACGGCGCACAGGGCGTATGCGTAATAATATTCATGAGGTTGCCTTCGTCCTTCGCCCTTACCATCTCCTTCCCGTCTCCTTCCCCGCCCCCTTAATCCTCCACCAATCCCCATGTTCATACATTGCGGCAGTGACAAACCCGAGCTTAGGAGGAGGTGGATATCCTGGCAACAGGATTCCACTGGCGGATACATGCGGATCTCCTTTATTATGCGGATTTTTCGTTGCCTTTGGATTACGATTTTCTGTGTCCTTTCAGCAAGCGAGCATAAATACGTTCTCTGTGAATATAGTTGTGTGGCATTACTCCAGTTCCACTTCCACTTCCACTTCCGAATCCCTTTCCCCTTCCCTTCCCTTCCCTTCATCCCCTCCCATTTCTTTTTAGCTAACATCCTGCTCGCCTCTTGATAAATTCATAATTTTCACTTACGACTCGAATTCGGTTTGACTGGGACAAAAGACAAAGCTTAAGTCCAAAGTGCAATCATGGCCGAGCTTTGAGAATGCCAGATTTAGGTATTAAATGCGTTTCAAAGTGCAATCAAAAACAGAGATTATTTCGCAATTAAAACGATACATTCCTTACAAAGAAGTACAAAGAAATAGTTATGTTGGAGTTTGCCAACTCAAGGTGGTAAATATTATATATGTTATTTCCATAATAAAAAGATTTTGTTTTACGGACTTTAAGCTTTGTTGCTTTGATAAATAAATGTATAAACACAAAATAAAATTTTACTTTACGGAATTAAAACTTTGATGTGCTGCTTATAATTTTTTGCTTAAATAAACCTTTTTTGAAATCTTCTTAAGAAGTATTTTTTAAATGCAATACCATTAATATTTTTTCATTGTGTAATTAGCTTAGAACAAGATATTATGAGAAAATAGATTAAAATAAATATAATTATACCTATAATATAATTTTCTTTTACTGAATTTAAACTTCGATGTGCAGCTTATACTTTTTTTCTTGAACAAACTCTTTCCGTAATCTTCTTAAGAAGTACTTTTAAATCAAAGTACCATGAATATTTTTTCCATCTTTTAGAACAAAGGTTTTTATTAGAGAAGAGATTACAATCGTTGCCTGGCAGTTCAGCCTGCTAATTCCATTCACCCTTAAACAGAATTCGAGGCAGCACTCCCCAGTTTTCCCCCGCGAATTTTCCGACCACACATAAAAGCACTTTTCATTATCCTCCGACTTTTGTGTGCATCTTTAACTTGCCGCCCGCAAGCCGAAAAACCACTCGCAAACAAACCCGCTGAAATGCAATCAAATTGACAATGCAGCGTCCAAAGTTTTCCATAATTCCCCCATTTTCTCGGCATTTTTTCTTCGGGATCCCCATTTTGTAGTTGAGGGGGGTGAGGGGAAAAAAGGGGAGGGTGTGTGGGTGGCAATAGTAAACATATTTTTCATGCTCCGGCTTTGTTTTATGTCTCCCAACTTTAACTACACCAACTTTCAGTGTCTCCGTTTGGATCGTTTCGTTTTATTTTGTTTTGGTTTTTAATTCGGCGCAAAGTTTCGCGGGAGGAGAAAAGCGGTAGGGAGTTCCTTACTTTCGCATCAAATTCCTGCTTGTTGTTTTCTCGAGCGCTTTGATTATGTTTATCAACCGCCTTCTGCCCAACCAACCCCTCTTTTCTCTCCGAAAAGAAATACTGCCAGTGCAGATGGCAAAAATATAAACACAAATTATGTAAATTTGTATATAATGATAACAGAAACGCCGATGATAACATCCGGGGAGGAATCGGTTGAGGGTATCGTGATTTATGCACTCAACTTTCCGACTGAATCTTTTTTTTTCTTTTGGCTTAGCCATCTTTCAGTTGCTCAACTAAGACGGATTAAGCCGCAAAGTGGGAAAATCTCGGAGTGCTTGGAATGCATATTCGGGGGAATCAGGAGATTCCATTTAGAAAAGTCACAGATGATTAAACTGATAAATATGTTGTAGATTAGAAAGTGCTTCATAAATACTTTTTTGTAAAATGGCTTCCGATTAAGAATATATTCTTTATTCGTGTTACCCTTTACCTGTTACCTGTTACATACTTCTTGACAAATATATCATACCCTTTTACTCCACGAGTAAGGGGTACCATGATCAACCCCAAACACTTCTCACATTTCCAATTCCGCCTAAGATTGGTTGGTATTTGTTTACATACATTCAACGCCTAAACACCAAAATCCAAACAAAAACGGAAGCCAGATTCTGCAATCCGAAGCTGAAATACCCTTGTACTTGAACCTTAAATGTATAAAGCAACTAAATTATTATTATTTATTTTAACGAGATTTTTCTTATAATTGGTTCAATACCTTTTAAAATAAAAGAATAGGTATACGATCCAATACGACTATATTTTAATTATATGCCAGCTATATAATATCTTCATGCGATTTTGTAGAAACCAATTTTTGTATATTTTCTATGGCTTTTACGAAACTTTAGAAAATAAATGTATTTATTAAATAGTACATTCGAATATTATCAAATCATATTATAGTGAATTTTTTTCATATTCGAAATTCTAAGCTGTGCCTTTGCTTCCCGAATTTGATCAAATTTTACTTTTATTTTCCATATTACCGTTTGCAAGTTGTAATTGAATTTGTACCCTTTTGAAGGGTATAAGTATGAAAACTTTGCGATTTGGAGTTGCTGTCAAATCAGTTTTGCGAATAACCGGGAACCCTTTGGATATGCGGGTGCAGTATTTTCGGCGTCCATAATCTCGGGGCCCATAAAAAAAATCGGACTTTGACAAGCTGCTATGAAAACAAATGCCACAATGCCTGATGCCAAAATCGCTGGAATAAAACTGCTGTGTGGACCAACCCGTCTGAAGAGCAGGATCTTCGTGCGCAACCTGCCAAATTGCACTCGCGAGGAACTGGCTGCCCATTGTATGCCCTTCGGGGTGATCCTTGGATCCCTGGTGGAGGGGAAGTACGGCTATATCCAGTTCACCAAGGAGAGCATTGCGCAGGCAGCGATCGATGGACTCGACAACAGCGTCTTCAAGTCGCGTTTCATAAAGGTCCAGAACGCAAGTTATCGCTCGTTGGAAGAAAACGGCTTTGTATACTAGGTCGAAAAGGATTTATTTAATAGAGAGTCGAAAAGAATGAGAAGGTTTGTTATATCAATTAACTAGGAAAGAACCGGAGTGAAAAAAGGCAGAGGAGGAAAACCAGAGTACAGAGGGTCATTATGAGCTTTAAAAAAAATATTTATTCGTATAATAAACATTAATTTGCTGTTATAAATTAAATAGTATGTTTCTTTCCAAATACAAAAAAAATGGTAAGTTTTATAAGAGACTCCTTTTAATATAAAGAACACCTCTCGAAAAAAATTCCTTTTAATAACTCCTGGATTAAAATACTGTAAGGAGAATTACATATTAAACACCAATTCTTTCTTTATGTTTTCTTTAAAATAATAAAAACTATTTCCCTCTGCTCTTGTTTATTTTCCATTAATTGCTTATTATTAATTGTAATTACATAATAAATACTCGAACAGTGGACAAACGTCATAACTTAATGCATTCATTTCGATTTAAGTGTTTTGGCAGTCCTCAAAAAGGCAAACGCTGTATGTTGAAACAAAGCATTTTTAATCTGTCAATACATTTTTCATAAGTATTTCAATCTTTCCTAAAGTTTCCCTTACAAAGAAATAAAGAAAATTAATGAACAATTTGTTTTTAAATACATTACCATAGAATAAATAAGATTATATTTAAATGAAACCATTTGACCCGAAAAAAGCATGAAATATCGCAGTGCTAATAACTCGTTTACTTTCCGTCTGTCGTCGTTTGTCCAGGAGCTCTCTCAGGATCTCGAATTGCATAATGGCTTTACGAATCGGAGCCAATCAGGGGTGTTAATAGGCAGTGTTGATTCCCCATTCGAGTCTGGCAAACAGAGCAGCTCGCCACTCCATTCCATTCCATTCGGTATTTCCAACCACAAATTGTCAGTATTTCGAACTGAATTTCAATTGAGCTTCGGCCGATGGAGTCAACGAGTTGTGGCTGCCAGTCGTCCGATAATGACGGACCAGCACCACTACCAATCCGGAGAAGGGGATCCGGATCCGGGGACCCTTTCGATATCTTATCGACTTGACATACTGTCCGGCAATCAGCAGCTGTTGCTCCCTTTCCTCCTTTCAGCTTTTTTTGACATCCCCTTCCGGGGAGAACATTAAATGGACACCACAGAAAGCAATCAGAGTGCGATTCCTGTCCGATATCCTGGCACATGACCAATACACCAATACACCAATACAGCAACACACCAACACACACTTCCTGCCAGAGTGTTCATGTGTGTATGTGTGTGTGGAAATTATAGAGATGTTTGTCGGTTGCGCTGTAAAAAGTGCATTTTATTTTTAATCCGTTTTATGTGGCTGTTGATTTTGCGATCAAACAGCTTAATCTTTCCACCGCAAATTTATTGCAGACCTTTGGGGAAAAGGGAATTGGGAAAAGGGGCATCTGGCGTGTATTTAACTGTCAAATTTACACATGTACTCCACGGCCCTTTCGCCAAACCGTAAATCCTTGTGCAACACAAAAAAAAATAATACAAAAAAAAAACAGAGGGGAAAAAATTGAAAACCAAAAGAAGTTTTGGCCACAAACCGCAAAAGCGAAACCAAAACGGAATCAAATGAAGAGGGAGCTGCACAGCCACAGATACAGATACAGATACAAATACAGATACAGATGTAGCTTCAGCTGGCGATGCAGATACATGTACAGATACAGATAGAGATACAGATGGAGATAGAGGCACCTATACATAGATACCGGCACTAAGATGGTGCAGGATGCCCCAGGATGTGTGCAGATGTTTATCGCAATTGCTGGCAGCTTTGTGGCCATCTCGTTGCCATTCAGCAGATTTTGGACTTTCGGCTTTCGGCTTTCAGCCTTCCGACTTCTCCAACTGCCCATGCGGGCACTAATTGAAATTGAAACCGGAACCAGGTGGAAATTTTAGGGGAAAGTCGAAGGGGAAAACCGGAGGGGAAGGGAGATCATAAGCTGTTGGCCCTCAAAATCAATCGGCCCAGGAAAACTAATGGGCAAAAGGTACGGCTAAGTATGGATTCACCACAATTTGAAGGATGATAATTAGAGTTCTCTCTCTAGATTTCCACTGGTTTCGGCTCCAATGTTGGAATTCAATTTAGGTATTACCCACAGAAATGGCAAAAAGCAATGAAATCATGAAGCTCCATGCGAAAGATTTTATCAACCAGCGTTCGAATTAAAGACTGACTGTTTTGAGTAAAGACCTAAGCAGTTTGTAGTAGTATTTATAGCATAATTTATTAACTGTCCAAATTATCTAACACCTAACTTTATAATTTATATTTGAAGACATAAAAAAATTAAATTTACTACAAATTATAAATGAGTAAGGATAATTTAACAATTTCAGTACATAAAATGATTTCATATTATATTTAATACAAGCCCATGAAAGTATTTATTTTACTGAATGATATACATTATTAAAATTTTAATAAGCATACAATTATTACTAAATGTATGTTTATTTGTCATTTAATATATGTCATATTTAAGCAAACATGTTAAGAGAGTAATAGTCAAATATTGTTCCACTTATGACTAAAATAAAACTAACTCTAAATGCAAGCTAACACTTTCTAAAGACCTGCAATCTTTAAACAGTTTCTAGTCCAACCCTTCAAAGAGTTTAGGAAATGTTTTGAGCAAGGACCTCCTATTAAAGAAGTAATTATAAAAATGACTGAAAACGAAAGTAGGGGAACTTTCCCTGAAGTAGATGTGGTTCCGCACGCAGGTCACTCCCCTCTTGGTGGTACCCCCTAATGTTGCCCCCCTTTGGGTGGCAACTTTGCAGCCATCCATCTGCAACCGCATTCAGGGAATGAAAGGGACTCCTGGCAAATCTCTCGCATAAGCTGATGTCTCAATTCCGATCGGGTGATGGATGGATGGATGGCCTGCTGGATGGATTTTCCGATACGAGTGGCGTGGGCAAGAGTCATTTATGACCATTACAAAACCGAATGAAAACAAAATGCGAGCAAACAAAAATCGAAACAAATGCGATTCTCCCCACCCCACACACCCACACAACTTGTGTTGTGATGTGGGTTGGATTTTCAGGACGAACAGGATGAGAAGGACGAGAAGGACGAGGAGGACGAGTGACGAGTGACTGACAAGGGTAAACAATTAATTGGGAACAAAGTGCGGGGTCTCCGCGTATCAGCATGCCAGTGACAATGAAGATTGAGATTGCTGCTGTTTCTGCTGGATTCTCCTGTTTTGGGAAAGCAACTTTTCGCCACCTCCTGACCGAGTTTAAAGCGCCGAAACTTTTATCATTAGCGCTGGAAATCAGCTGGAGAGCGTGTGGCATGTGGATGTGGCAAGGATGTGGCAGGGATGTGGCAGGGATGTGGTGGCAAGGATATGGTGGCAGTGGCAGGAGTATGGCAACGATAAATGTCAGAAGGTGTTCTCCGTTTGGCTGTCTCACAAACTGTAGCTCACTTCTTTCGAGCGCCTCGAGACGAACACAAAGCAAAAATGTTGTGTCGGTGGGAAAAACTCCAAGCGAAAGCAAAATCCCCAGCCAAGCAAATTGATTAGAGCCACACACACTCACTCACACACCACACACACACACACATGCGATGCGAGGGTGGGCACAACAGTTGCTCTGGCCATGAACCCAATGGCTCTCGTCAAAGGAACGCCACTTGAGTCGCTTTTTGCCTTTGACGTTGGCCGCGTTTTCTTTTTTTTTTTGCCTTCGCCGTTCCACGCTGCGTATGCGCATTATTTTCAAGATTTGTGCCGACGCGCGTGTTTTTATGTTTCCATGCGCTTTGTGCGCTCCACTCTGCAGTGCTTAAAATAATTTAATTGTTGGCCTAAGCTCTTTAATGCACGCCACTCCACTTTCGACTTCCGCCATTAATGGCTTCAGCGAGTTGGCTTACATTTGAGCCAATTACGTTGGCTTTAAGGCATAAGGCAGGCTGAACAGGGAAAGAGGAAGCAGTCCGGATATCAGCAGGAAGTACAAAACTATTCACTCGAAATGGATAAGACTTCTCATCATGAGCTGTACCTTGAAGGAAGTTAGGCAACTTGTTTACAATTTTCATACTTTCAAGTCATTAAAGGCTTACTTAAGGGTAAAATGTATTCTTAAAACGTATAATTTTATTTGAAAGGTAATTGCATACTCTTAAAGCCATTGATACTACCCAAAGTGGAAAATAAGCACTTTCAAACAGTTAAAGCCATACTTAAGTGGAAATATTAATAAGCAATAGACTTATATTTACTTCGATAACTGAAATACTGGTTAACAATATTAAAAATATATATCTGAACTTACTTAAATAAAAATCATGTTTCTTATATCATTACTTATGGAATAACGTAGGAGCTAGCTAAACAAATTTCTCAACAAATTCGAGAAGAAGTGTACTTCACCTTCAAAAAATCTTACGGAATGCAACCAATAATACATTTTCCATTATTGCTGCTTCGTAATCATTTATTAAGACTTTGTAAATTTGTGAAATAAACAATTACAAATTCAAATGCAGAGATGTCATTAGGAAGCTCTCCCTGTCAGTTAACCAACCCTCAATCACTTTTGCCATGTGAAGTGAGATTGTTTCACAATATCTTCACACCTAACACTGGATGACATTCCGGCATTCGGTGGCCAATGCAATTGTTGCCTGTTGTTGGTGAGCAACGAGGTTATCTACCTGATCCGTATATCCCGATCCGGCCAAGTGCGGCATTTAATGGCATATCTGCCAGCCCGAATGAACTGCAAACGAGGAGCGAGAACAAAGTGGCGGGAAAAGAGCGGCGGGGATGTGTTGAAATGCAAACAATAATACACAATAATGATAATCCGTATAACTTAATTCGAATGTTGACTAAACTAAGCATCGCACATTATGCAAATGTCCATTCAGGCGACATGCGATAATATTTGCATTTGACGAACGGCAAACTGCACGACTGACAAATATGCATACTATATAGAGTACATATATATATGCAGTGGACGGACAAACACAGATAATCAGGGGATTTTAGGGGGGAAATGAGGGGGGA